CTTTGGGCTGATAGAAATCAAGTTTAGGTGTTAGCCTCTTTGTTAAGATTTTCATAAAGAGTTTGTACATATGTGTCAAGAGGCTGATGGGTCTATAATTTTCTAATTTAGTAATATCGCCTTTTTTGTGTAACAAGACTATTACTGCATTGTTCCAGTCTTTTGGAATCGTACCCGCATGTAAGCATTTAGTAAACAGTTCGCTTACTGATTTTAATAAAATTTCTCCACCTGCTTTTATTGCCTCGATAACGAGTCCATCATCACCAGGCGATCGATGGTTTTTCATTTCCTTTAAAGCTGCTCTTACTTCTAACACAGTAATGGGTAAAAGTATTTCCGATCCCTGATTTATGAGAGTCTTTACTAGTGTCGGGAAATTGTCTTGTGGTCTTTGGCTGGCATAAAGGTCTTTATAAAATTCTCTAGTTATTTTCAGAATGTTTTGTTTATCTGTTGTTGCCTTTCCGTCTTTATCTCTCAGCTTGTATATTTCCTTTTTACTATGCGTAAGTTTTCTTTTCATTATCTTTAAACCTTTGTTCTCTTCTACTGTTTGAGTAATTACATTAGTATTATATCTTCTTACATCTTTTCTAATTTCCGCTGAAATTCTTTTATTTAGTTTTTTATATTCGTCTTTGTTTCCCTTTTCGTTCTCGCTTAGGTTTCGTCGTATTTCCATGAGAGCCCTGGTATCTTTGCTAATCTTTTCACTTTTGGTGTCATTTTTCTTGCAAAATTTGAGTTGTGCGTTTCTAACTGAGTTTGTTATTAATTTATTGTGATCGTCGATACTTAGAGGTTTGGGATTATTACTCTGTAAAGTTTCGGCTATATTTCTTATGTATGCTTCTGGATGATTTGGTGATTTGGTGAAACCAGGTGCATTTCGTATAATATTGTCATTTTATATATCATATACGAGTCTCTACTGAATATAGACAAAAAACTAAAAGTGGCTATTTGTGATATAACACATTCTTTTGAAAAGCTTTCCTGGGCGAGACAGATCCAAGGGAGTCACTAATAATAATTATTAACACGTTAAGTAGTGCAATGGAAACCATATTAAACCGTTAATATTGGCCGGCTAAGTTTTTTAATTTATTTAAAACTTTTTTATTATTTTAAACATATTAATAACGTATTTTATTTATATCCTAATATTTTTTAAACAAAAAAATATTTTTTTGTCTGACAGCATTTGTCTCCCATGGCAATAACACATGTTTTCTTCAGAACAGCTGTAGAGGACATGCGTGTCCGATACATCAAGCATGCGCGTTTGACGCGTTTTTGTGTTTAGACTGGTAGTATCATGAAAACTGCAGTCCGGTAAGGTTATAAAATACGTACGTAATAGTTTATGAATATTTTCGAGTTAGTTTGTGAATTTATTAGTTTTTTTTTTTTAATTTAGTAGTTTCTAGTTTAGTTTGTGAATTATGGGTGAATCTCTCTTCAATCCTGACCCCCCAGGGGGAGTGTAGTGGTCGACGTGATGTCGTGTATTGTCCGTCTCCAGAGATCTCTGTCTCTGGTCATTTCTTTTAATTCATGCATAGGTCTTTGGCATATTCCTGTAATTTGATCTATCCATCTTGTTGGGGATCTTCCTCGTAATCTTCGGCCTTCTACCTTTCCTTGTATTATGAGTCTTTCCATGTTCTCTCTGTTTGCTCTCATAACATGCCCAAAATATTTTAATTGTTGGAGATGGACTTTACTAGAGAGTCGTTGGCTAACTTTTAGCTCTCTTAAAATTGAATTATTTGTTCTACGGTCGGTCCAAGGAATTCGTAACATTCGTCTCCAACAGAATATTTCAGTGGCGTCTATCTTTCTTCTCTCCGATTGTCTCAGAGTCCAAGATTCACATCCGTTGTCAGTATTGGGAATATTAAGCAGTTGATCAACCTCATCTTTATCGCTCTTAAAATTTGACATCACATCTACGTTTAATCTCTTCTTGTAATGACCCTGTGTTTGTGATTAATGATCCAAGATATAAGTATGAGCTCACAACCTCGAACCGGTCAATTGTGGTTATGTGTGGATGATTGTTGTGTAGTCTATCCACTATCATGATCTTTGCCTTTGATATGTTTAATTTCAGACCAAATATTTGACTTTAGTTTTCGATCAGTCGTATAAGTTCTATCAGCTCTGCTTGACTATTTGCAAGAAGGGCTGTGTCATCTGCGAAACGTAGGTTGTTTAGTTTATGACCATTTATTGAGATGCCATTTTCCCATCCTTCAAGTGCTCTTCGCATAATATACTTCCCATATATGTTGAATAATTCTGGAGATAGTATACATCCTTGTCTGACACCCTGTTCTGGATGAAATTCGTTCGAAAGTGTGTCAAGTACTTTAACTGATCCAGTAGTGTGTTCATATAGTTCGGTTATAAGCGTAATTAGATGTTGTGGTACGCCTACTTCTTTTAGTATTCGCCATAAGTGTCTCCACTTGACCCTGTCGAACGCTTTACGGTAATCTATAAAACAGATGTATAGTGGAATGTTGAATTCCCTAGATTTCTCGATTATCTGTCTTATATTCAGTAGGTGTTCTCGAGTGCCTCTACCTTTGGTAAATCCAGTTTGCTCTTGTGGAATTTCTCTTTGAAGGAATGTTTTTAGTCTCTCATTGATTATGTGTAGCATTATCTTGCTGGCATGAGATATAAGAGAGATAGTTCTATAATTGTCGCATTTATGGAAGCTGCCTTTTTTATGTATGGTCGTTATTGTAGATTTTGTCCAGTCTTCAGGTTATTGTTTGGAATGGGTGAATACGAACGTCAACATGAAAGATTCCAGAAATTGTGGGACGAGGTTCTTTCTGAAGATGAACACAATTTTTCGCCGGATGTAAGCGACTACGAGCCCTCAGATAACGAGATTTCTGATTCTGATGACCCGTGACGGCAAAAAAAAGAACAAGATTGCCTAACTTTGATAAAAAATGTCAGCGGGTACGTTTCTCCAAAATCAGAGATACAAATCAAGACCCCTAACCATCTACGTCTAGTTGCATAAAGTAATAGTAAAATTGTATGTTTTTAAAATTTTTGCTAAAGAGATAAAATATGCTTTAATATGTTTGTGCTCGCGCGAGAGATGTATTTTATGGTGTTCTGAGTGAAATGGTACTATTTCTTTAAAAAAAAACCCTCACCCACTTCCTTCCAGCAAGACGAGTCGTTTTGTTGAATTTATGTTTGATATTATTTCTCTCAGCACGTTCGAAAACTAATCGTCTCAAATTTAGTGTTTTGAGACCAAAAAATCTTGTTTCCATATCAATCACATGAGTAGCTACCTTTTGCTCAAGATGAGGAGGTAGTTTATTTCTTCGGCTACCATAATCTCCTTTTCTTTCACAGGAGTTGTTTGCAAAACGTCTACGGAGTGTCGTAGTCGGAACATTGAAAGTTTTGGAAGCCAACAGCCACCCCATCTGGTTTTCTTGCATGTGTTGAATTGCCATATTCATGTTCTCTTCCGACCACTCCTGCCTATGTTTCTTGGTAGTCTTCATAGTAACAAAGACCTTGCAACAAAACAAAGCCTTTATATCTGATATTAGGGGATATTCGACTGTTCAAGGTATAACTAGATAACGACAATCCAATTTTTAAGGATTGTACTAAACCTTTACGGATATTTCAGATATACATTTAAATTTACTATTGAAGATTTTGTGCGATTTGAAAGCTCCAAATTTGTTTAAAAAATCCTACAAAATGGTATTAATTATCTACTTTTACCTTATTATAAATAAAAAGTTGAGTTTTTGAAATTTTTGCAATTAATATTCATTTTCCTTTGATGGCATATAACATGTGCACATAATGGCATACGGTGTCATCATTAGAACACATCCGTCATAGGCAAGTATGTGTCAGATTTAAAGCAGAGCGTTATCTACTAGCACCACAATGGCAGATGTTAAAATGCATAATAGAAGCTGAATACTAATCAAAATTGCATACTTACTTTGGATATTTTAATTTCAGACAAGAAGCGGCAAAAAACTGTTTAAGTTGACGTGCGTTATAATAGTTCAACTCTCAACAAATTACACTTTCCGTTACAGACTTATCTGTGGAACTAATAAGTGTTTGTAACTAACTTTATCGTTGCAAATAAACACTGTCTATGCGCATGCCTATGCAGCCGATATCATTCGACAGGAAACGATTTACAATTTACACGTGGTATGCCATCAAAGGCAGCATGTCATCATAGGCATGTTTCCCCTATTAGTTTAAACGTGTACTGTATTTACTTAATTTTTTGTAATATAAGTATAAGTATTAATTTGCTTGTTTTTCTGTGAGTTCATTTTTTTATTAGTAATTATAGATATGTTTAACTCACGTAGAGTTATGGCGCGCCCCACAGGTTGAGAAACGCTGCTATAAATTAATTTCCGTGAAGTTTCTCGATTAAAAAAACGCCACACAATTTTGGTAACTCCCTAAAAATTAGATGTTAGTTTCCTCTATAAGTAATAATCTACGTGTTATATGCTTAAAAAATAACTTGTTTATGAAGACTGGCCTAATATCCATCAAATAATTACTTAATGTTTGTATCAAGGAAATGATTTGAATGAATAATGAGTAGGTACCATTGACGGTGAAGAAACTGTGATTTATTCAGCTACTTCTTAAGAATTACTATATTTGAATAGATGGGGCGTGGATGTGGTCAAAAAATTATCGGTCTAAGTATGAGCTTGCATTAGTATTGGTTACATAACAAAATCTAATCAAGACGACGTGGTTTGTAGTTTGTTTTGAATCCTTACTACTGTAAAAATGCATTATGATCAACTTTTAACTTTCGGCCTACATCATCTTAGAATTTTTTACGCGGGTATTAGAACTTCTCTGAAGAATTCTCTTTGATTCTTTCTTATGAGCTTATGATTCGCTTGGATACTGTTATGGACAATATCTATATGGTTTGTTTGATATTTTAGGAAAAGAATCAAACCAAAGTAGTTGAAGAGTGCTGTGCCAATTTTGTAGAAAAAGATGATCACTGTATATCATCTTGCCCTAGCTGCATCAATGGAATATGTGAAAATGGACACTGCAATTGTCTAGCTGGCTTTAAAGGAAACAGTTGTGAGCTAGGTAACTATTTTATAATTAAAAAAAAAAACATTATATTCTGCTAAAAGTAAAGTTCGTGTAACATTCTGGCTAAGGTTCGTGTAACCTTCTGGCTATTTTCTACTAATTTTTATTTTCTCCCTTTTTTGTCACGTTATGACACATAAATAAAAAAACCATTTATTTTCAGTATGCAGCAATGGCGAATGGGGTCCAAATTGTGCAAGAACTTGTGAATGTAACAGCCGTTCTTGTGACTCTATTAATGGAGTATGTATGGAGCAAAGTTCTAGTATACCAACCGAAATTTCTAAGACATCAACTACACTATCAACAACTGTAACTAAATTAACTACAGTGCCAACACTATCAACAGTGCCAATAGTATCAACATTGTCGACAGTACCAACAAAACCAACAGTGCCAACAATACCTACAGTACCGACAACAGTATCGACAATCCCAACGGTACCAACAATAAAAACGGTACCAACAATACCAACTATAATACCAACAGTGCCAAAATTATCAACAAAGCTAATAGTGATAACAGAGGAAAACATTAAAACAACTAGTACCATAGCAACGACCACTAAGAAAACGCAAAGTGCAACTGAAGATAATGTTGAACAAAATATCAACAAAATCTTATACCCAAGTGACACAGGTTCTAAAAGCACAACAACGAATTCTACATCTGTTTCTGGCACTGTTTCGTTTTCTTCAACAAACAAAACCGTAAGTACAATAGGAGCAACCGAGCAAACTCCAACTACCGCTGATAATTTATTAGTACCCACAGTTCATGCAGTGACAAAAATCTTATCATCCACTGAGAAACAGAACCCAACGATGTCTGGTTTGACTTCACCACCTGTTGGTACAGAGAAAAGCAAGTATACAACCAGAATCTTCTCCAACGGCTCTATAGCAACCAACGACGGTCTTCTGATCCCAGTGGAAGTAGAATACGGAAGACTTAAAAGTGATGTACACGAAAACAACAGCATCAAACCTGTTGGTAAGGAAGATTATCTCAACCGAGATATACCTGAGAATAGAGTGTCTTTCAACGATTTTGCTCTATTTGGTATTACTGTACTGCTAGCACTGATGATAGTGGTTGTTATTTTGGTGGTAAACATATTGAGAAAGAGGAAAGTTGAGCAGGGCTTGAAGGCTGAAAATAATCATCAGGTTGCTGTTTTTTCAGCCACTATATATCATTCAGCTGTACCAGGTAACGAAATGTCTAGTATTTTATTCTTTAGGTTTCTTTGGGTTATTTACATTTAAATATTCCAAATTGTCGTCTTACTGTAACAAAACTTTAAAATGCAACCTAAATGGGCGACAATGTAGCAAGTTTTAAAAGTCTTAAAAGTCTTAAACGAAAGAATACAGCAAATGTAACAAGATAAAAAATAAAGAGATTACAAAAATGCGCGGCCAGAGGAAAGCAAGGGGCTTAATGCATGAGAATTACCGATAGAAAACTTACGGAGGAAATCGACTAATTTCTATGCCTGTAAAAGACAGTGGAATATTCGATACAATTCAGAGCCTTAGACATTTGCCTAGATCATGAAAATGATCGTCAGAATGTTATGTTGAGTGTTGTAGATAATCCTAGTGCTTCGGTTAGCTCTTTAGAGTAATAATTTAACATTGTTAAATCTGCAATTCATCGAATTCTTAAAAATAAAATTAGTATCCTTTAAAGTTATTATCATACAAGAATTGTAGGCAGATCACTGACAGAAGAACAACATTTTGTCAAATGATTGTAAGTTTGCTTGAAAAAAACTGTATCGTATTTTCTAACGAAGTAATATTTTGTTTCAACGGAACCGTTACCAAATAAAATACAGACGTTTTTGGAGTCCAAAAAATTGACATTAGTTTCAAGAAGTGTCACAAAAAAGTTAATGTTTAATCAAACAGTAAGCCCATATTTTTTCGATGGCAATTTGAATGCAGATATTAACTTAAGCTTTTTATGTTTTGGTCTTATCCCAATCTTAGCAGTCATGTTCTCTAATGAAGATGATCCGAATGTACAGTTGCGGTCACGGAATAGTTTACAGGTTCACGTATCTAGGAGCCCATTTTTTAAATTTTTACTTCGTTTAAACGCACCTTTTACGTCAAAGTGACGTTGCCAGTGGTGTACTAGCTAGAATAGGTAGATTAAAATTAAAATATAAAAATATTTTACAAAATGAAAAATATAGAAAACAGTTTTTGAAATAAAATGGATTATGATCTTAATAACGAAAATAAAGAAGTCTTTTTTTTTAATATGCATTTTATTTTAAATCTATTTTATATTAAATAACGATAAACAATGATAAATAATAATTAATATTTGGTGGAAGCCCCATTCTTGTCAATACAATTTTGCAGTCTTCTGTTCATAGATAGCACCAATCCCCTCATGTTATAGTTAACAAGCTCTTCCCATGCCTGCTCAATTGCCTCCCATAATTCAATTCTATTCCGTGGTCTAAGGTTTCTTTCATTTAGTTTCTTTGTTAACTCTGCCCACACATTTTCGACGGGATTAAAGTCTGCACTACGGGAAGGCCACGGAAGAACATTAACATCAGTTTCTTCTAGCCATTCTCGAACAATTCTACTCGTATGCACCGGGCAATTGTCATGTTGGAAGATAAAGTCGTTGTTGGGGAATCTCTGGATCACCGATGGCAACATTGTGTGCTCAATAATATGTTTGTAATATAATCCTGTTAACTTCTCCTCTACATGATAACAAACGCCCGGGCCTTCGGCACTTATCCATCCCCATACGTTGACAGAGAATCCTCCACTATTTCTTAAATGATGCGTATACTGTTCATCATACCTATGATTTCTCGGACTATAAACTCTTATTCGACCATTATTATACGACTGAAATACTTTTTCATCGGAAAATACAACCCTAGACCAAAAATTCTCATCGCGGTTTATAAATTCATTACAAAATTCAACTCGTCTCCTCTTGTGATCCTCAGTCAAAAAAGGTTTCCGTGCAGCTACACAATTTAGCAGTCCACTTGCTTTAATTCTTCGACGTGCAGTGCGAATACTGCCTGGAAACGCTGCCTCTTCTCTTGCCTTTTGAGCTGTGGCAAAAGGAGATTCTCTCAAATAATCTACTAACATCTCATCCTGTTGATCTGTGGAAATCTTCTGCCCTCCTGAACCGCCCAACCGTGCTATAGAGTGAAAATTATCCCATCTTTGTTTAATCTTTCATATGCACATATGACTCACGTTCAAATCAGCAGCAACTTGCCTTAGTGACCAACCTTCTTCGAGTTTGGCAATTGCTCTTGCTTTTTGCGCATAATTCAAATGTATTCTAACCATTTTGGAAGAGTTTAATATACTTTTATTTTATTGTTGAACACTCGCGAAAGCATTGACGTTTTGAAATTTTTTGACTTTGACATTTATCAAATCCGTACGACACTGCAATTTTACAGTATTACAATATAAAAAGTAAGGTGTAAACTATTCCGTGACCGCAACTGTACCTTCTAATAACATCTGGTTTTAATAAGAAGATTCTCCATTTTTTTTATTAATAATGTGTGAAATTATTTTTAATAAATATTTCCAAATCGATTAATTGGAAAAAGGTTTATTCAATGTCCACCTCGTTCCCCGAATTTAACCGAAAAGATATAAATTTATTTTTTAAATAATTATTTTTTGTACAAACTGTCTAAATAGAAATAATATCTTCTAAACTCTAGCTCATCATCAATGAGGGGCAGAGGAGAAAGTCCTCTGAAGAATTTACAGAAACTTGATCTACCCTAGGTTGGATTACGGCAGCATTCTCTACATATATGCTTTCGACAGAAGTCCTGAATGTCTTTATTTCGAATCTTCAGAACACCCACTTTTTATTTACTACTGTCTTACTTCTCTAGAATTTCTGCTAATCCAAAAAAACGCAGTAATTAAACTAATTAATACTCTCCACATTGACCCAGAGAATAATCACCCTTGGCCACATTCTTTCTCACAAATTTTAAAAACTGCTAAAAGATACAGATCTAACACACAACTCCAGAATTCACCAGTAGACCAAAAAGGTACCTATTGTCCATTACAGCTTAAACCAAGATAAAAAGAAGAAAGGTCCAAAGAAGAACAGGCTGTCGTTTGTGCCCTCAGCACCTCAAATACAGCAGTAGAATTATATCGGCTTTCTCTCAGATGCAGTATACATACAGCTGAACTGTACGGAATACTCAAGGCATTGGACTGACATATTACTAATGAGAAATCATTAGCAATAGGCACCGATTCTCTCTCTTCGACTAATTTAATCAGAAATATATACTTAATACATTTTATTGTACAGTGCATACACAGTATCTGCCAAAAGCAGTCAAGAAATGGTGTTTTAGTAATATATTACTAGAATGTGTCCACTATAGACCTCAAAGAGACTACTACAACTCTCAAAATAATTTAAGTGACCTACTCGGTTTTACAAACATGCCAAAATTCGTTACCTAAAAGACTGTCACTTTTACTACTTAGCATAATTATTATATTAATACGTAGCTAATGTCTCCTAACTTGTATATAAACAAATTTTATATGTATGTAAACAAATTGTAATAATCTTTGTACCTACCAGTGTCAATGGCCAATAGTTGCCGAGACAATTTAATTTAAATAAAAAAAATGTGAGTGTTTATATATATATATATATATATATATATATATATATATAATGTATATATATATATATATATATATATATATATATATATGTATATATATATATATATAATGTATATATATATATATATATGTATATGTATATATATATATATATATATATATATATATATATATATATATATATATATATGTATGTATATGTATACAAGGATTTCCACAGTTTTTACTGTATTCCGTCACTCAACCGTTTTCTCCAATTTTTCCTGTTTAGCCAGTCCCCTTCCTGTAGGTTTCTTCTTCTTATCGCTTCGTCTACTTCATCTCTGAAAGATCTTCAGGGTCTGCCTCTCTTTCTTCTTCCTATCGGGCTCCACTCTGTTATTCTATTTATCCACCGATTTTGGTCTGCTCTTCTGACATGTCCGTACCAGGTTAACCTCTTCTGTTCGATGTCGTCTATTATGTCGGAGCTCATTTCCATTCTCCTCATAATCTATATGTTATTTATTCTATCTCTTCTTGTTACTCTACAGCTTCTCCTTAGGAATTCCATCTCTTGCTCTTATTTTTTTTTGGTTTTCTTATTTATTGTCCAATTTTCACACCCATAAGTGAGGATACATCTTGTCGTGGTATTATATATATTTTTTTTCTTTGTTTTCATGCTGATGTTCTTATCCCATAGTACCGGGTTCAATTTTCGTATGCAGTCTCTTGTTTGTCCTAGTATATTTTTTATATCTTCCTCCATTGTTCCTTTGTTTGATATTATGAAACCTAAATACTTATACTTGTCTGTTCCTTTGATTTGTTTACCTTCGTCTATTTCCAGCTGTTTTATTTCTGTATTCTCCGTTGTTAGTTATTCAGTTTTCTGTAGGTTTATTTCCATCCCATTCTTTCTATATTCCTGCTCCAGTTTTCTCATCATAAAACTGAGGTCATCCTCGTCTTGTGCGATCACTATTTGGTCGTCAGCAATACTTAGCGTATATAGATATCCGTTCCTTACTGGTATACCCATTCCTTCGCACTTTCTTTTCCATGGTTTCAGGGTTTTTTCCAGGAATATTTTGAACAGGGTGGGGGATGTGGAGCAACCCTCTAGTAGTCCCTTTGCCGTTTTAAATGGACTGCATATTCTATTGCCCGTTTTGATAGTTACTTTGCTATTCTTGTAAAGTGCTTTTACCGCGTTTATTAATCTTCGTGGAACTTCGATGTCTTCCATTGCTTCTCATAGCTTGATTCTAGGTAATGAGTCATATGCCTTCTTAATATCAACAAAAGCCAGATGGACGGATCTATTTTTGGCTATTCTTTTTTCTATTAGTTGTTCGACCGTGTAAATGTGATCTAAGCATGCTTTCCTCGCTGTGAAACCTGCCTGGTCTTCTCCGATTTTATCTTGTATATATATTTCTAATTTTTCCTTTATGGTCTTTCCATACAGTCTGCCTATAGACGATATATTGCTGATTCCCCGATAGTTTTCACAGTTTTTTCTATTTCCTTTCTTGTATATCGATGGCATATATGCTTGGGTCCATTATGCCGGTAAGTCTTCTCCATTCAGTGCTCTCTCAAACATTTTGTGTATCATACGGAATAACTTTTCCGATCCGTTTTTTATCAATTCATTTGGTATTCTGCCGAGAAAAACTCTTTAGAGTTTTGATATTGAGTTCTTTTTTACCACAGCTAGGCTTAATTCGATTTCGTCATGTGTGTAGATTTCTATTCTAAAGTGTTTTTAAACACTTTAAAATTATTTTTTTTAATTTATTTACTTGAATTTTCAAGATTTCTTGTAAATTATCGACTAGATATATTTAGAAATTAACTGAACTGTATTTTCTAGAAATTGTGGAATACGAGTATGACCATCCGCCATCTAGCAGCTACAGAACAACCTCAGTGTTTAGAACAAACGAAGTTACAGAGGAAACTATTCCTGAATATCAACCTGAACCTATATATGATGAAATTCCAAACAAGGTATTTGAACCAACAACGAGCAGTATTTCTCCGACGTCGATATATATAAATACATGTGAATCAACAAAGTTTTGATTAAAGTTTTTGTGCCATTTATGTTTAATAAAAAACCAATAAAGTAAAGGTTTGTTATTTTCAGTTTTTGCAAAAATTTTTACAACTAAAAGGATCAAAAATTCAAAATATAGAAGCGTAAACGAAAGTTTAAAGCAACAGCTGGAAAAGGGATCAGCTATTGTATATATAAACACTTAATGTATGTAGGAGAGAACGGGGTTCCTTCAGAGAGGGTGCAGCTTCAGACATTGATATTGTGGGTAAATTTAGGGACTCGGGTTGGCAACACTGACATCAAAACATTCAATTACTACTCTCACTATTGTAGTTTAGTCTATAGAACAGTGCAGAAAAGGTTTCATCCCATAAAGTGGAAAGTTATTTTTGGTGGTTGAAGGTAAGATGAGTTTTTTATTAGAAGATAAGGCTTAGGATGATTAACATTGCTACCAGCTTTTAGTCCATTTATTGCTGAATAACCTGTACTATTCAAATTTGTTACTGATGGCTAGACTTCGGCAAGTATGCAAATAAAAATGTAGAAAATATGCGCATAAATATGCACGTGTTTACCCGAAAATATGCAAATATTTTACAAAATATGCATACAAATAAATAAAAAAATCGTAAAATAGTAACAATTTTATTTAAAAAAAAAAGTGTACATAACTAAATATTTCCTACTATTCATTAAGATTTACATTTATTTTAAGTAACTACATCGTTTTTAAGTATGAATAAACTTATTTAGAATTATGGTAACAATAAATGGCCAAGTGGTGTTCAAAATTTTCTAACAAAAACTTGTGGCTTCTGTCTGAGTACATATATTTATATATGGAAAAACTTCGTTCAACATCAACTGAAGTAACGGAAGCATTTTTCAAACTAACCAAAACATTTGGTTCTACATTAATTGTTTCCGAAATGTTTCCAGCTAGAACACTGACTACTTCAGAAAGAATATGGTAACCTTTATTTTGTTCCATAGTAGCTTCAAATTTTTTTAAAATATCTTTTCCAATATTACCTCTAACGTTCCGACAACATGACGCAAATTCTTTTATTAATGCTGTACTTTCGAACAATGACAGTTTTGGTGATTCTGAGTAATTGTTTTTTGAACAAAACTAAAATTTGATTTTATAAATGAAAGTTCTTGTTGAAGCAAGTTACTCTGAAAAGTTTGTTTTTAATCCAAAAGAGATTGGGAACTTTCATCTGTTAACGTATCAATTATGTTCTTTATTTTAACAAAATGATCTGCATAAAAATTAGCTGCTTCTAACGATGTTCCCCATCGCGTTAAAATAGGTTGTGGTGGAAGAGGAATGTTAGGTAGCATTTCTTTATAAAGTTGAACTCTTATAGGATATTTAAGAAATACTTTTTTGACACTGGATATCATGGTATTTACAAGAGGAAACTTTTTTCGTATTTCCTCTGCAACTCTGTTTAATCCATGCGCTACACAAGTAACATGTATTAAATCTGGGAAAAATATTTTTAAATTGTGTCCTGCTTTCACCATATAAGGAGCAGCATCCGATAAAATAAGCAGTAATTTATTAGAAGGAATAGTTGTCGGAAGAAAAAAGGTTGCTAATGTTTCTTGTATAAAACGCGAAATTGTTAAAGCATTTGTTTTCTCAAGTTGCTGGCATGAAATAAGATGAGATTTTGGTAAGGTATCTTCTTTAAGAACACCAATCAATAAATGAGCAATATACTTTCCTGAGGAATCAGTGGTTTCGTCTACAGATATGTAAAAATAATTATCTGCAATTTCTTCCTTAATATTAATTAACACCGACGAGTATAGCCCGTTCACATTATTTCTTCTTAGAGACCGATCACTTGGAACATTAAGTTTGCAATATTTTTTTAGAAACGAACTAAAATTTACATTTGCTAATTTTGAAAGCGGTATGTTTGCAGACACTAATGCGCGACACAAGTCTTCATTAAAAGTTTCTTGCTCATCTAATTTTTTTGAAGTAGATTGGAAACATTTAGCCATTGAAGTTTGATGTTTTCCTATTATTTTTCCTTTTTTTGCAATGTGTGAAGCAGTTCTCACATGTTGGTCTATCTGAAATTTCTTCTCACATGCTATCTATAAATAAAAATAAAAACCTTTATTTTAACCCAACCTTTAAAATATAAAAATATACAAGGTGTTTTTGGTTACTCAAATAACTGGTTTGGAAAAAAAAACACTCGCTAAGTGTTTTAAATGCAGTATTAAGCCACAAATTAGTTTTTGTTACTAACCATTAGTACATCATATTATAACTTATTTTAAAATTCAACAAAAGATTTTTTTTGTTAATTCAATTACAATAAAAATAATTGTGTTTTAGAATAGCTGACTTCATAAAAAAAAGTAAAGGTGAAAAATTTTTCTAAATACACACCATTGTATTGTACCATGGACAATTTTTTCTCACTAAAGGAAGCTATTTTTCATTTAAAAACAACCTACGAGTACTAAATTTCAAGTAAATACGTTTATTGGTTTTAAAGTTATTGTTATTATTAACTAAAAGAATTTAATTTTTTTTAATTTTAACACCCTGTATTTCGAAAAGTAAATAAGTTTGACCCCTCATTAACTATATCGATTTGTTCAATTTTTCGAGAAGTATCTACAGTCAAACGTTGTAAGTGTCATTTGGAAACACCCTGTATGTATGAAATATTAGATATTTAATAGAAAATATTAGATACTTACAATTTTGCCACAGACTGAACAGTAGATTTTTCCCATATCCATAGACAGCTCTTTATAAGGTTTAATCCAAGTTGAAGCACTGGTTGTTTTAGGCATTATAAAATCACAATCTTCCTTTTTGTTACGCACAACGAGTGTTTACGCTTTGAATATCAAAACAAAAATGATTTACAAATCTGAGCATCAAATTAGAAATGTTTAGGTACCTAATTCAATAAACTGGGAGATTTTGGAAAATCCCTAAATTAGGAACAAAACTATTAGCCGTTTACCTGCTGTTGAGATACAATAAATTGTAGATAGATTTGGGGATTAGATCATAAAATGCAAATGAGCGAACCCTTAGCGATTATCCAATAACTGAATGCCTCAGTGACCGAGACTTTCTAAGAATGTTGAGGGCTACTTAAATTGATCTTCTTTGAAATTGTAAATGTTTTGTACCTGTAGAGATTACGTACTTAGATCATTTCTTGATTAAAATGACTACAAAATTTTATACAAGAATTGAAATAAATTGGTATGTTTAAAAATTTTCAAATACAGTATAAAAATCTGAACTTTTATGCACTTTATGCAAACTTTTATACAAATATGTCAAAATATGAAATATTTGCATAAAATATGCACAATATGCAAAATATGCAATATGCATATTTGCCGAAGTCTACTGATGGCACTTTTAGGTTATATTTTTACATTTAGTCTGGACACATCGAGTCGGGGTACATTAAGACAAAAGGGTACGAGGCACTAACGGACAAAAAGCAAAGGAAAAAAGAGATACCCTTTTTGAAATAACATGCTTAAAAGCATGGATAAGAAATGCTGCTAAAAGTTTGTATTAAAATATTAACTTGTTGGTGTGTACGTTAAGAAGTTTGGGGATAACCCAGATAGCGAACATGATATGAAATTAAGAAACGATACTAGAAATGTTTTGACTGACAAAAAGGAAGACGACCTTGAGGCATATTTAATTAAGTGTTCAAAAATGTTTTATGATCTTAACAACCTAGAAACTCGAAAACTAGCACATGCGATGGCCAAAATGAACAATATTGACTGTCCTAAAAACTGGGAAGCTCCGAGAATGGCAGGAAAGGACTGGCTATACTGTTTTATGAAACGCCACCCAAGATTATCTCTCCGTGCTGTAGAAGGATGCAGTATTGCACGTACAATGTCCTTTAACAAACATAATGTGAATGCTTTTTTTAATAATTATAAAAAATTAATCAAAAGATACCCAGAACTATGTGACTCATCCAGGATTTGGAATATGAATGAAACAAAAACAGAAACTAAGTAAGAACCTTCTCATGTGATTGCACAAAAAGGCCAAAAACAAGAAGCAGCTGCTGTAACGGATGAGAGAGAAACTCTGGTTACTATAGTTTTGTTTATAAATTTAGCTGGAAATACAATTCCTTCTGTTCTAGTATTTCCGAGAGTGCATTTCAAGAGCCACATGATAAATGAAGCAGCAAGGGGACTTTGGGTTAGGCTCATCAGTTAGGCTGGATGACCACTTCCAATTTGGTTCATGTGATTCAGCACTTTATAAAATGTTCAGGTTCCTCTGAAAAGAGAAGAATGCTTCTAATTTGCGACAATCATAAGAGCCACTTGTCAATTGAGGCAATAGAACCAGCAAGAGCTAATGGCGTGCACATTCTAACAGTTCCATCCCATTTTACCCATATGATGTAACCACTGGATGTGGAATTGATGAAACCTTTTAAAACATATTATAATACTGCAATTTATTCACGGTTGAAGTCTAACCCAGGCCAACTTTTTGGAATCTATCACGTGGCCGCATGTGTTGGAATAGCAAATGGCCGTGTCATGTAACCACAGAGCATTATAAATTCTTTTAAAAAAACAGGAATATTTTCAGTTGACAGGCACATTTCGACCGACGATATGTTTCCTCCCAGTTGGGTCAATAAGAGACCTATCCTCCACATAAAACTCTTCCTGATGAACTTCTAACATGCCAACTAGCTGCAAGTCTACCAACTTTAGAATCTGAAAAACCACGCTCATCTCCCCAAATTTTAAGCGAAAACTTTCAGCAACCAATAGACACTCCATCAATATTAAGCTGCCAGAACTCTACGCCTATGCCCTCTCAACAGCCTGGCTGTTATTTAAGTCATGAGGAGATACGAGGATATCCAAAATCGAAACTCAATATTAGCCCCAAGAAACTAAGAGAAAAGGGGAAAAGCAGAATAATAACTGACACCCCAGAAAATCTTCTTCTTGCAGAAAAACATATCAATAAAAAGAGAAAAAACAAACTTTAAATCTACAAAAAGAAAA